GATTGCTATATATATAACTTGTGTTCCCGTTGAATATTTGAGAATTGAAACTTTTTTTAATGTATCAAAACCAGAATAATGTTCTGTTATTGATTTTACATTTGAAGTCATTCCTTAGTTGACGTAACTATATTTGTATTTTTAATTTTCAAATGCTTTTAAATCTGAAGAAAAAAAGAAAAACAATGAAAATTGAAAATTTCTTTCACAAAAATACTTAGCAGCTGAATAAATATGATTTTTTAGAAGACGTCGTGTGCACTTAATCATAAGACCCTTTGATTTGATTATTTTACACAGGAAGTTGAAAGAATATACAAAAATAACAACACAATACGTAAGGGATGGACCATTGGAAAATTTAAGGGGGGGGGGGGGGGGGGGGGGGGGGGTGGAGGGCTTCCAACACCATATACTTTTTCCCCTGTTTCTTTTCATGCACCACGCTCTTTTTTTTCAATAATTTTTCTTCGATTTTTTGTTTGTAAGGATTGGTTTTCAATTTGAAACCCTGCTTGAGTTGTGTATGTTTTGTTCTGACCAGCCCCCCCTTCACTTTTTGAATGTGCCGTCCCTAAAGGACACGAATGATGTAAAAAAATAGGAAGACGACAAGGAAAGAAAAAGGGAAACCAAGAGAGAAGGGAGAAAATAATGGAAGCAAGAAAACGAGTAACCGAGGGATTAATATATCASCCTAAATTTGAAACGATTTTCAAGAGATTTCAAGTCGGAAGTTTATTTTTGTCAGCACAAGAAAAACGTCCGGAAACTTTAACACATTGAAATGTCAAAGATTAAAAGAAAAAAAAAATCAGCCGAAGGTTTTTAAGTTTTTTGAAATAGGGCACGAAAAAATTACTGAAGATGCATTCAACGAAAGGAAGACACAAAAAATATTGGTGGGAACTAGCGGTATATAAAATATGAGGTGAAGACCTATATGGGCATTTAAAAGGCCAATCAAGACCGGGCGCGAATATTTCATATTGCTTATCAAATTCCAACAAAAGCTAAAGCATATTTTGCTAAAAAAATTCAAGATAAAATATCATTTTAAGAGAAAATCGAAGTAAAGACGTCGTATGCGAATCAGGACCAATATCTTGCTTATATAAAGATGTGRCCAAGGCAATGATTTTCCATTGTGTTTACCTTGTGAATTATTAATAAATGTGATAAATATAATTAATATCCCTGCCTGAAACTACTGACTTATGTTCAGAAGTACTACCCTGGGTACGAGAGGTCTTGCGGTTTATTTGCAGCGCGAATCACCGTCTTTGATACCGTAAGTACGAAACTGTAAACCAAAGAAAGAGTWAATCTAGCTTCTTGAACCCAGGGTATAGCGGTACCAAACATTTTCCTAAACATTCTCATTATTGACCCATGCAACGTTTCAATAAATCCAAGTAACAAAGCCATCGATCAGTACTTCTCGTGATGTTTACTAAATGTGGGACAAGAGACTATTAAAGCGAGCAAAGAAAAATGTAAGGTATTTCCAATCGTAAAACTATGGTATATTTTAATAGATATCTTTTGGAATTCAGAATGATCATCCCCACCCCAAATACAAGAGCGTTCCCGCCCCCTCCTCCCCTCGRGACTTAAGTTGACACTAGCAGACACAAATAGTACATAAAAATATATCCAAAAAAACGTCATGTGTTATGCACTAAACACCTGCACCTCAAAAATGTGTCAAAAAAAGTTATTGTTTAAAGGGGTAGTTGTTGGTAATTTAGTCAAAACGGGTTCTTAATTTAGGTTGTTAATTGCTGTGAAGGGGATGTGCTATACATTGAAAATGGTATGGACTAACATTACACATAACTGTGACTTTCAACGAAAAAAAAAAACATAACTCAAATTCAAAATTCAAAATTACTGTACAGTAGCTGTAATTTTTCACACACCGCCAATAAACTGTGTCATTAACTTTAAAAAGCTGTAMAAATGCCAAATTTCTATCAAGAGGTTTTTGATCCACTAGATTTTAAATTCTTAATTGTTTACTGTTCTATTTTACTGAACCTTGTTTATTCACTCGATCAACAGTTCTAAAGCTGATCGAATAGCAGATACCAGTGACTGGCGAAGTAGGTCTACTAGCGTAGTCATTTATTTTTCAACTACTATATAAGCCCTTCAAGCAGTAAGGTGTCACTCAGTACTCTTGATTATCGCACATTAAACAAGAAAGCTACGTCAATCAACAGACTATTTGCTTGAAAAATATTTCATTATCTTYTGTTAGAGACTTTTGAATGCTAAGTATTTCTAACTATTTCATCAAAATCCGATCAAACAACCATCATGAAATAAACGATAATTCGGTAATAATATTGATAATAATAAATAATTACTTACCCGATGCATAGGGTAGGTCAAAAAAGTCTCTAGAGTCCGTCCTTCACAGATAGGCTTTTCCTCATAAAGCTTAAGAAGACGATTGAAGGCAGCTCGCTGTTTACACTCGGTCAACGTCTAAGAAAACACGTTTAAGGTTAATAATTAATCAATAATCAATAATAGATGTGGCTGCATTGGGAATAGAATACTATATTTCCACATATAGTTGAATAGGTGACGTCATAGATAAGGTTATTTTTGTACATTCCATTTCAGACGCAAGGGCAGTTCCAAGGGGGTGGAAGGGGGCAGGCAAGGGCAGTTTCAGTGGAGAGGAGGCGGGGGTTTCTCTTGATATTAATAAACATAAGTTAAATTTATAAAATCTACATGGTACTATTATTCTAAAAAACAATCAAATCGTCGWTTCTTTTCGATATTACAATTTCTGAAGTCCTACATCTATCTAGTATTGGATAATTTTTCTTGATCCCCACCCTCGGCCGCCCCCTGTAGGTAACGTTCTGGATATGTCAATCAGTARTTTACAAGCTGTAGGCGGTTGCTATTCTTAGAGAATAGTGGCATTCAAATTGCATTTTGTCTAAAGGYGTCATTTACATATTTASGTCCGCAAAGCTATTTTAAAGCATGTCGACTGCTGAATTCTGTAATACTGCCACGAGACCGAAATGCATTGTTGCTATAGTGACACCACGAAAGAGGCATTGCAATCTGTCAATCAATTCTTCACGTCGAAGGTGTTATCTTTTCAGACCTTGTTATTCAGTATTCAACGTTGTTTTAAGTATTTGTATGCATAATTTACAATATATCACGGGTAAGATTGATAGCATTCTAATAATAGTGAACAAATACTTMATTCTTCTTGCCAAATGACGAAGAAAGGACTGAAGCGCCGCTTTTTTAGGTCACATGGCTTACCATAATCTATCCAAAAACATAATGGCAAACAAGTTTTGACATGGACAAAATGCGAGTTCAAAAAACAAAAATAATAATGTATAAAAAGCTGCAATTTAGTGCGGCAGTTAAGAGCGGCAAAAGTGCGATTTAAGTGTCGCTCCTACTGCAATTAAGCTCAAAACATGAACTTATTTCCATAGCTTCTCCTTCAAAATGATTAAGAAGGTGGAAAAATCCGTGGAAATAAGGTTTCACTAAGAAAATCCGACGCTACTAGTCACGTTTTGCCAACTGTTGTCTTGACTAATTTTTTTTTTCTGTTTGTATATTATTTGCCTTTTTTTCTGTTCTTTTTTTTACCGAAAAACKTGCATAGTAACTCCTAATTTAGCTAACTTGTAGTATCATCTGCACGTACGAAACACCTTTTCTCTGCTTTATTTGCAATGCTCTTATATATGTTGATCCAGCAAGCGAATTTTCTCATTAATATTCACGTATAACGATCGTTATCAATGACGCCCGCGCCCTCTCGACAAAATGGCGGGAAATTGACGTCATTATAACAAGACTGACAGCCAGCTCGATRACGTCATACCTGTAGGCTATAATGATGGTTTCTCACGTACTCTTGGTAGATGCTTAGCATCGGAAGCAACATGTCGAACAAATCCCCTGGAATAAACAAGATAGACAGGTATCAATCATACAGGTGTTGATACTGGTAATTTGCATAAATAGGTCACGTGATTCTATTTCTTTTTGATWTGCGGAACGTACCTAMTAAAAGAAAAAATATGATTTTCGAMGTYTATATAATTTACTCTGATYTAAAAATCGTTCTTCTTATAGGAGAGATTGTTCTTTGATATTTTGATTCTACATAGCAGGGCACGTGTAATTATAAAGGATGAGATTTTTTTTTTGATATTAATAGCGTCACCAACGATCGGCATCCCATAATAATAATAATACTATCAAAAAATGCTTCACGACCTATTATTWAAAAAAAATTAAATTCTAGAATTCGGAATCCAGGCAATGTACATCCGGGGTCTGCTAGAATGTACAATRAAATCCGGAATCAAGGAGTTTGGATTCCGGAACCCCCACAACGTAGCGGATTCCGGGTTATGCGGCGGTACWCGGAGCCAAAGTCATTAATTCGTAGTGCTTACCTAAAATCAAAGTTGGCCAGCTCTCCATTCTTGTGTTTAAACCTTTTAGGAATATTTGATGAAGGAACAATATTGTTTCGCTAAAATCAAATAAAAAGGAACATAAGAAAGACATATTTTGCAGTTTTTTGGTGTGTGTGCGTGAGTGTCTTGTCGCATTTTCGTAAACACAGACCCGCTCAGTTGTTTTTTTCCGTCTAAAGCTTCAAAACCTTTTCATGCCACAATGTCAATAACATTTAATTCGCTATTTATCTAAAGTTTAGAATTGTAATATTTCCAAGGAATTTTTAAAATATTTTTTATGGGAATGACTTTGTTGTCTTTATGTCTTTACAATTAAACATAATGAGAAGATTAAAATACTTCCAGACTGGGATTACATGTTATATGTTATAGGTTAACACTAGTAATTGAATTTTATAAATTTAACCTATATTTCTTTAAAATACCTATTTAAAAAGATTGAGTTTACTTCTTCGTGAGATAAGGGTGGACGTTTAGAGCTTGCGGCCATTTTAAACGGTCGGTAGAARCACGAAACCAGCGTTGATAAGTTGTCTAAATATTCTTCTTCCGTCTCGACCAATTGAAAACAAATCGAGTTTCGTTTGCGCATGCTCTCTGCGTGTGGAGACCGGATGTAGTCTTGCACGATGTTATGCCATCGCCGACGGCACAGCCATCCACGGACCATACTTTGAACCTGTGTTTRGGTTAGTCAGTTTATGATTAATGGATTTTTATGGTTTAACAATGACAATTACTTTTTAATAGTGGTAAATAGCTAGATAATGCTCTGCTAAAGTTACTACATTCTCGCAGTGCATTCTCTCCCATGCCGTCCAGTAGTATGCGCACTTTCTAAGGGCTTGAGAGGGGTGTGCTTTCACCTTTTTGCAATCCAATCATTTAATTGTTTAATTTTTGTTACTAACGATTTCTCATTGCGCATGCGTCTGAGTCAATGTAAAGGAGAAATCACGGTGAATTGTGGTCTARCTTTAATACAAGCATCACCGGCATATTTAGCCGCCAACTGTATATCTGCGCAGTTGTGGCGTAACGTGTGGGCGTATGGTGAAACAAGWACCACATTAGAGCATGCGTGTTAAGTAAAATACGAGCCCTATCCCACATGGCTTAGTGTGTCTTCCTTCATTTTAATTCTCGAGTTATAAAATGAATTCAGTAAATATTTCACAAACCACCATTTCACAAGCCACAAACCACGAGAAACGTACCCCAGGTGCAAAAGCCTGGATAACATTGTCCACCAGTTAAAGGTATCCGCTCCTTGCATTTTCTATGTGATTTTATCCGCTGATTAAGGGTTTATATGGTGTTAAGCAGTATTCACCTTCGTACAAGGGTTCTGCTATACTGCGGTCTGCGGGCCAGATTTGCGAGCCCGCGGATTTTGACCTGCAGCCCGCAACTTGTGACCCACGATCTGCACCCCGCGCGTTATTCAGATTCAACCGACACCATGTTGTTTTCATTTCTTGATATCATTTATTTTATTTTTTACCTTTTTGATGCTTTTGATTTCTTCACTTTCTTCTTCTTTGGCGACTTCTGCTTTTTTCTGTCGAAGAGTCACAATCTGACGATAATAAAATACCAAGTTCAGACCTCCTTACAATTGCTTGCTGTAATGCACAAGTCAATTGAAACCCCCGCCCCCCGGGGAATACCGGGGAATTTAACATTTGAGTAATGTTAAAATTAAACATTTCCCCCGGTAGTTGGGGGAACATTCATTGTTAAAATCCCCGCTACTGTTGCCCCGCTATTTTGGTCTAGTAGTAAATAACAAAACAAACACCTTTTAATCAAATTTTCAGTGATACACAGGGTTAGTTTTTGCACAATCCTTTGTACTCATTTGCATGCTACATGAGGCTAAATGGACGGAGAAAAACATGTATAATAACTTTCTTTAAAAACATTAAACAAAACAGGTTTGAATACCAATGCTTTCAGGGTATTTCTCAAGATGGTCGACCTCTACGCGCGTTAAAATCCCCGCTCTTTGACCCTCTTTGCCCCGCTTCGAAAACAATTCATCCTGACCCCCCTGGGCAATCTTGATGTTAAAAGCACATTTAAAACGCGACACGTCCCCGTCCAGTGCCCCGCTAGCAGCCCCGGGGGGCAGGGGGGCGGGGGTTTCAATTTAATGGTGCATAAGATGGGGAGTATGCGAAGTGTAAGATGCGAAGTGTGAGGTAGAGCATGGGTCATGAAGGAGTGTCAAACCAAAGCTGGGGTTAATTTCCTAATTTCTGAGGTTAGACTACAATGGAATCCTGCATTACGGCCAAACGGTTTAYACGACAACTCCGTCATGAAAATATGAATAATTAATAATTAATGGATTGATGGATGGATGGATAAACAAATACAGTCGAACCCCTATTAAGCGCTCACGTTGTGGAAAGACCGGGTGACCGCTTAATAGAGGTTGACCGCTTAATAGAGGTTGACCGCTTTATAGAGGTTGACCGCTTAATAGAGGTTGACYGCTTTATAGAGGTTTGACTGTATATGAATAAGAAATTGGAAAAAAAAACTAAATAAGGTTGTGTTTGCGGACAGTACCAAGGTACAAAATCTGGTTTGCACAATATACACCTACTTACGAAAACGAGAATSGATTATAACCCACCTCAGCTCTCAAGATAGCAATGATCTCAGCCTGGTCATCACAGTGTTCCATAAGTTTCCATTTTGCAGTTTTTTCACTCTCCATGACTTGTAGAAGATGGTTGTACTTCTCATCAAGTTCATTCATTGTTGACTTGATTTCTGAGAAACTATAACAGAAAAAAAAAATTCTTAAGACTTGAGAATTGAATAGTCTTCTTCACAGTTACCTGCRCCATCTTGAAAGGTAGCCGTGCCTAATTTACATTGAAGTGAGACAACTGTTGAGCGTRCAACGTACAACGATTGATTCCTGTGAATAATTGTCAGTAGGTGARAAATGAGGTTTCTATCATTGCACCTTATTAACAGTTGTCTCACTTCGATGCAAAGGCACAGCTACCTTTTAAGATGGCACTCGGAACCATGAAGAAGACTATTTCTCAATGGCAAAACAATGCTTGATAATACTGAAATGTTTAAGTTCAACTGGTATTCTGTGTGGTCCCATTTTAGATTGGAWAATGGAAAATCAGTTGACCTTAAATATCCATCACAATTTAATTCATAGAGCTTAATATTAATATTAAATAGAAAATTTTATCAAAATTTAGTAAATTTTGATTTAATTTCAAACATAMACAAAGGCCCACAATGGATGCCAGCTAGTTGACTATGCATGGCCCTCCAAGGTGCCATAAAATGTAAACAAAATGGCCACAACAACAATTTAGGGTTTGATGGGATAAAAACAGTCAAGTATTGCTCAACAACAAAATTTCTTAAAATAGCAAGTTTGTATGAATAACTAAGTAACAAAAGTGTCGATTAGACCATATGAAGCAAAATTTAATACTATTTCCCTAGCTATCTATTGTTCAGTGTGTTGAACTTTAATGAGCCTGGGCTGCCTGTGTACATCTGTCACAACACACCTTGATAAATAGACAKAGAGGAAATAGACTTACCTTGATTGCCTTATACTTTCAATCCATGCTGTACATTGTTTATCAGTACTTGCACGTAGTGTGATCATCTGCTTTAGATTGTCGCCAAGAGGTACATATATGGTAAAGCAGTTCTAAAGCCAAAAAGAAAAGAATTGATAGTTGAGTTTTGTTTTTTTTGCAATAGCCTCAATAGTCTCCTTCACGGTTACCTGTGCCATCTTGAAAGGTATCGTACCTTTGCATTAAAGCGAAACAATGGCAAAATACATAGCAAAATACCTATGAATAATTGTCTGTAGGTGTGAAAGATTAAGGTTTCTATCATTGCACGCTATGGTTGTCTCACTTCGGTGCAAAGGCACAGCTACTTTTCAAGATGRCACAGGTAACCATGAAGGAGACTATTGTGTGCAAAATATTCAGAAATTTAGATAAACTCATAAAATTTCAAACTATTTCCATTGTCATCTATTAATTGTCTTCTATATCTCTTGCATTTTCATGGACTGTCAGTGAATAAAAGAATTTATTATTTAAGAAATATAAAACGGCGCGCGTGTCTCTGTCCTCTRATATAAACACGGTGGGAGTTCGAAAAACACGAGAGAAGCAAGCTTAGGAACACGAGCGTAGCGAGTGTTTCTCTTGCTTCTTGAGTATTTTTCAACTCCCACCATGTTTATATCAGAGGACAGAGACACAAGCRGCCGTTTCATATTTCTTTTATAAAATCTTTCGAGCGAAAAGAAAATTTTGCCRGTAAGCCGTGTCTCTGTCCTCTGATATAAACAYGGTCGTCAGCCAATCAGAGCGCRTGTTATATATGAAAAATTTTATAAAAAAAGGTATTTTACGACATAATTTGCTTTCATGTGTAATTATATGATAAACAGATTATTACATGGTCGCTTGGAGATACGAATTTTATTTTCTTGTGTTGAAAATCAATTTCAACACTCGAAGATAAAATCCATATCTCCGCACGCCCATGTAATATCCTCTATTTATTACATGGTTTTGAGGCTAACACAGAGTAAAAGAGAACTCTAAAAGTGTTCATTAATAATGTAATTGTTTTTAAATAAAAGCTCCCTCTCATGTTTATATCTTATTCAAATTTGAAAGGGTTTTCAAAAAGTCACTCGATAATAGATCAGGGGGACCAGGATTGTCTTCAGGAAGGGGTATTGGTCACTCAGGGGGGGTGAGGATGGGGGAGGAGTGTGGGGAGCACTTATAAAAAGACCACATAGACAAAAAATATGGCAAAGTATTAAGGGATATAAGTTGTTGGGGAGGGGGGTGGTGTGGGGTTTTGGGCACACATCCTCTGTACCCACCAGGTGAAGCACYCCTTTTAGATAAAACAACAACATTATGCTGAAATCAAAATTCATGATCAAATATTACAAATTCATAACCCACAAYGGCCCGCAAAAGGTGTATGTTTACAATAGGAAAGATATGGCWGCAGCATTAGAAAGTACATTTGTTATATTTTTGAACAATTTAATTGATTAAAAGCAAAAGGACAGCAGAAAAACTTTATAATGAAATAGCCAAGGCAGAGCTATTAGTAATGGCAGAACTGGTAATCGCTGCTCATTTAGAGACAAGTATATTTTGCTCATGAAAAATTTGGGGTAATCCAAGATTTTTTTCATCGCAAAACATGTGAACTTGTAGCTCAGCATCTGGGTCAAACTCTGAACTTTATTCATTGAACTTAAGTCTGTTCAAATTTCTTTTGATTACCAATTGACAGCTTTATAAAAAGGCAAAATAAAATGTTTACTGTCAAATGATAGTTTATGGCGAAAACTACGTATTTTCAAAAACGCAAGGTAAGCTATACAATCCCATATTCCATAGGGTCATATCCACACATAGCGATTCAATAATTYASTGCAGTGSTTGATCCWGAATGTTAGAAAGGGGGTGACAAACWTRSTAACATAATATTAAACAGGGMATTGGGTAGATTTATGTCTGCAAAAAAAGATGACTGCTGCTTTAGGTTTTTTTAAGAATGTCAATTCCCATTTAGATTTAATTTCTCATTTTTTTTCTTTTTATAACTGMTWCTATTTCTATATTTTTGAACCCCCTAAAAATGGGGTGGCTAACCAACCTAATCACCCCTTRGACTCGCCCTTGCAATGTGACCAATAAATATGGAATAACGTGATAGGTTTTATTATAATCAGGTTATGTATTATAAATGAGTTTTAAACTCAAGTTAATAACAAAACTAAAAAGGCTTAAAAGTACAACAAAACAGCTGATAACAAACTGGAAGCTATAATGACAAAAATACCTTTAATCCACTTCAAATCAACCATACAAGCTATTAAAAATAACAGATCAAAATGCTAATTCCGTTGGCTGTCAAAAAAAAAAATTATCAAAAAACCCTTAATCAAAAATTTATGATTTAAAAAACATGCACTACAATGTATTCTTACAAACAGTKTTTATTAGCATTAGCAAAGAGCATTAAAAGCATTAATTTTTAATTTCAAACAGRAAAATACACCAAAAATTACAAAATGTCGTGAGTAGAAAAGCTGGAGTATTTAAAATCGATTTGTCAATTTGGTTATATATATGTCACTAATCGAATAAGAAGGSATTTTGCGGTTGCTGTCTGAATGTTGTGAAAATGTCAGGACGATGATTAAAGAACAGCTTGTATTTTTAGAAGCAACCCTCGTGTAATGAATATAAAAAAATACTCTYAAGTGCCGTGGAATCAATATTTGTGCACTAAAACGAACATCAATAAAAAGCCCACTATATTTATCGCCTAAACCAGCGCAAATGCAAACAAACGCTCTTAAGAAAGTACAAAATTACGTAATGTTCTGAGTGATAAAGTTTTAACATTAATATTTTATGATATTTGATGTACTTGGCTTGTTCTAGATGTTATAAATGCTGGTTTATATTATTTTCCCATCGTTTGAGATCTTACGGAGTTTGTTTTTAAACTTAATAGGATAATTCTTCGACGATCAGAACATCCTCAATTCCGGGCCACCTAGTCTGCCTTAGACATAAGTAGACAACTATGGCACCGAAATAAATCTGTATTTTTGCCGAGTTTGAATTACAGGAAAAAAATACTCTGAAGCAAGTACTTGTCGAAAAAGTTACAAATCGGTGCGTTTCTGCGGCTTTTTAAACAAAGAATCAGTGAAATGGAACGAATGATCGAAATGAAATTAATGATCAAAATCGAATCAATGATCAATATGGGGAAAGCGAACGACCGTATTTTTATACATGCATATTAAGCAGGCTAACGCGACATTTTATGTCAACAATTGGCTCGTGAAATAATAACTATCCAGGGCAGCAGTAAGACTGATATGAAATATGAAAGCCCACTTGAACAACTACCTATTTTCAATAACCAACAAGCCCAAAGATATGGAAATTCAGGTTGATTTTGCAGCCCGAGTCAACTAAAGATTGTTATCGAACCAGCAGCAGCTTGCAACTAATTAGCAAAAYTCGATTGATGGAAATTTCTGCGATGTGTAGTTTTTCTTTTGCATTTGAATGGTATTTTGATTTCTCGTCTCCTTAGAATTCGATCTCGCCCATCTGAGGTCTTTGAGGTGAAGTGCTGTTCACCAAATGCTATAATGAATATTAAAGCTACCCGTGCAGTTCGTTAAACATTGATTGCGGGGATTTCTTCAAATGAACACTTCGAGTTCAGGTGCTTAAAATTTTATTATTAATATTTCACTGCTTGTTAAACCAMCAAGAAAATATTCGATCAAACGTTCGCTTCAAAGTTATATAGACACTGAAATGGTTTCCCAGACACTCGAATGGTATCTCGAATGCACGAGCAGATAGTTAAAAGCTTGAATTAATTGCTGACCGAGAGAACTAAAAATCAAACAGTTTATTAGTATAGAGTACAGATTTTAAGTTACAACGCCAGAAAGCGGGGGAAGGAATAATAAATTTTAAAGTGAGARGAAAAAAAACTTTTGTTTTCAAAGAAAAACAATATTTAAAAAGTAATCGATTTTCTATGCATGATCGGTAGCGCTTTTACCTGGTTCTCGCTGTCTTTGGCATTCACCAAACAAGTGTGCTCACATGACGAATGCTCAAGCAAAATCACCCCAGTTACTTTCGCAGAATCTTCGCTTTCGAACATGAAGATGAAGTTTTGATAAAGAGCTGCCCATTTGAGATGCCATTTGCCCGTGTCACTGGCTTTAATATACAGTTGGCCTTTTAGYGTGTAGTACTGCCGAGCAAGCGAACCGAGGTACAGAATCTGCTCTTCGCAAATTCGAGCAGACGAGCGCATAATCTCGCCGATAAGAGCTCAATATTCAACGACTTTTTCCGCTCGATGACTTAAAACCATACAGAAGTAATAACGATATCTTCTGGAAGTGTCCTTCGCAACCAAAACAACCCACGTTGTAGTTGTGACTTTCGCGTGCTGAGGCGAGTTGTTCCACGGCCAATGTACTCCAGTGGACGAACTATACTTTTAGGCGATRTTCAGTCCCGTTCTATAGATGTTTGCAACTGCTTGCCAACCAAATGTTATGAGGTGTTTCGTGACCAACCGAACTTCCTTCGACTCAATTTGCCGATGCGCGCAACGATACACCTGGAGTGACGCGAATAATGAGACTCGCAGGGGGAGGGTAGTGGAGAGTTTTCGTCATTTCCGAGATAAACGCGAACACTTCCATAACAAGTTCAGTTAATTAAAGAATACTACTAATGAGATTTGTATTTCTGCGAAACAAAAGAGTAATTTAGTTTTATATAATTACACTGACAGAAATAGAAAACAGCGGTTTTACATAACAAAAAATATTATATTAAGTCCCACATAAAATTATTTATCGACTGGGCATTTTATGTCCAATACTCCAGTTTCGAATTCTCGAATGCTCTGTGTTAGCCTCACTTATGCGCAAAATATTCCTTAGTTGTGAGCGTAAAAGTGTGAGATTTCAAATCAATTCTATTGTCTTTTGTTTCAAATTCCATGCGTTTTCTCGAGCTATCAATGAAACAAAAGAATATGTTAYTTGGTTTTGAGGCTAACACAGAGCAAACCAGAACTCGAAATTGGAGTATTAGGACATTTTTGCAATAAAGATCGAACGAAATATTTGTAATTAATAATAACGTATTTTTTTATTTCATTTTTTTTTTATTTCATTTCTTTGTTTTTTGTTTGTTTTATATTATTTGCATGGTACGTATTGATCGTCTCAACCATTTCCTTGACATTCAAAAGATAAAAGACCGGCGTCCATGTTGGAGGAATGAACAATAGGTACTAATGAGAAATCCTTTGTTGAAGTTCCTTAAAGGGACATGGTCCACCAGCATCCCTTTCGAGCTTTTGTTTATGTTTGAAAATAGAAATACATCGTAATATAAGCAAAAACTTACTCTTTATTATTCCTTTATCCTATATGACTGAAGATGCTTTAAGATTCGACCGTTAAACCGATGGATGGAAACGGTTGCAAATGGATATTCGAAGTCACCTCATTTTCCATATATGAAAAATCTAAAACACGACCGCATTGCATGCTAGTGGACCATGTCCCTTTAAAAACTGTACTTTAAAACTCAGCAGAACCTAGATTATTATATTTATTTATTTATTTCTGTTTTTATTTTATTTATTTCTTTTTAAGACAGTGAAACGATGTTGGAGTTAAATTTGCTGTCGGTTCTAAGGGACCATAACACCTCTTCTGAAGGGGTTCTCAGTCATTCGTACCCCCCTAATTTTCTCTCTAAAAACTGATTTAAAAGGGACGGTGATTATCACCGATTATCCTCCCTCCCTCATGAACTGGGTGTGTGATCTTCCATTAGACTGTGAAAGGAACGTATTAAGCGCAACAAATCAGTATTAATAGTAATGTGTAGTGCTCTATTATAATGTAGATAGATAGATATCCTTTTTATTGACACACTCTTCAGAACTTCAAAAAATGATGGTCAAAACACAAGTGGAGCTCCCGAGCTCAGGAACACACTATAATTATNNNTATTATAGATTAAGTTTGCAAGTTATGTCGCGTAGTGAATGTTCTGCCATGAGCAAATGCAACATCTGAGCAATGGCTTAGTGCACTGAGGCCAGGCGCGAAGCGTCCTTTACGCATAAATGCACGTGCGTACTAGTGACTGTCGCAAGGAAATATTAAAATTTTCACAAAAATTACTGAAAAAATCACATAAAATTGATCCCTTTTATATGCCCTCGAAGTCTCTCAAAACGCTGGAAATCGCATTTGCAAGAGTTATTATTTCAAAAAATTTTCTGAGGAATGTCCATACTCCCTTAATATTCCCGTCTTTGGCGGTCGTTAGACCCCCAGATTCAAAATATGTGCAAAAATACATTCTAAAGACTAGACAAGAAATGTAACTTCGCAACATTCAAACTCTGAGGTTTATAGAAACAATACACGACTTGCTTTTTGCCGTTTCTATAATACAACCACCAAAATGCTTTGCAAACAGTTCTTTTATGAGACTCACAGTAGTAGCATTTATATCATATAATTATCTATGAAAAATACCTATATTTCTCCATTTCGTAAAATTGATATTTTCACTAGTGAAAATAACACATTCGAGGTTTCTCCCTACATTGGAAGTAAGAAAGAAAGGCATTTTACGACATAATTTGCTTCCATATGTATAATTATATGATAAACCAGAATATTACATGGTACGCTCACTCGTGAGAGATCTTTTCAACACTCGAAGATAAAATCCATATCTCCGCGCGCCCATGTAATATCCTCTATATATCACTAGAATATGATGGATCAATAAATACACACACCTATTTTCCAAAAACCGAACAGAAAATTGTGGTGGCTACGGCCCTGCTACGACAGTTGTAGCCATGTTGTAATGATGACTCAGGCATGTTGCAGGCGATATTGGTTTTAGGCAAACGTTGTACTGTCTGATCGTCCTTAACAAGTAAACTAAATGTTTGTTCATAGTTCACTTCCCTACTATTTTACAGGGGCTTCATCACGGCGGCGATCAATAGACCTAACCACGGGATAAATCCTTTTATCATATAATTATTTATGAAATTCCTTTATTTCTCTATGTCATAAAATTGATATTTTTACTAGTGAAAATAACACATTCGAGGTTTCTCAATAAGTATGAAAAAAGGTATTTTTACGACATAATTTGCTTTCATGTATAATTATATGATTAACAGAATATTACATGGTCGCTTGGAGATACGAATTATATAATCTCGTGTTGAAAATCTCTCACTCGTTCGCTACGCTCATCTTTTCAACGCTCGAAGATAAAATTCGTATCTCCGTGCGCCMATGTAATATCCTCTATRYATCCACAATTCTTCGCGTACAAACGACCCTGCAAGTGACCCATATCTGACTGCGCACATCCCCAATATGGCACAATATCAAATAGATAGATGTATAGGAAAGAATAAGTTAGTTAAAAATTACTTTTATACAACAATTCAGAATTCGAAAACTTTTTTTTACATATTATTCAAATATCATAAACTATTTACAAAATGTTATTGACAGACAAGGAGTTTTTATTTACAAAATATTATTGACTGACAAGAGTTTCTATTTACAAAATATTATTGAGAGACAAAAAGGAATTGTCGTTTTCGTTTGTTGTATCACTATATATCAGCTATTTACAAGAATGAAGGCACATTTTCAATTTTTGAAAGTCCCAATTGTATCCGATAACCTATACTTTGCGCATTTTCATCCTGCATACGGAAAATCCCCACATTTGATTTTGAGAGAGCAACCTTTAAGAAGGGATATTCTTTCAAGCAAAACAGAAGACYGCAAAGGTTCCTSGGTGCAAGTGGGACTTTAAGRACAAGATATGAGATTATAGTCATTTTACAAAGAGTTAATTGTTCGAGTTCAGTTCCTTTATAATAGAAGGTGATTTTGTACAAAGCTACGYACAATCTTACTGCAGATTACTCCAGAAAATACATTAAAACGTTTGAGATATCTCCCCAGTCKCTTTATTCGTGAGGGTTTRGAGCGGGAAGCTGATTTGACATCCTCTTGAATTTCCATTTCTTCTAGTAGAGTCGATTCGTTGGCACAATTGCGCGAATCAGTGTCAATATTTRATTTACGCACACTTACATCAACTAGCGATGAGCTTATGTTAGCTTCTTCGCAAGCAGATTGCTGCTCATCAGTTCCTATAACATCAGCACTGGACAYGGATACTGGAGTGACAGCCTCCGCAGAACACGTAACTTCGGTTGGAAGATCGCTTGCATCTATGGGACCACATGGATTAATAAAAGTGACATCGCCAAACAGTTTAAAGCTGCTTACATCACTGCTTTGCGAACATGGAGTTCCCCAAGCAAGTTCGTCAGAAGCAATGTCATTTGACGAGAGAGACGAGTCAAACATATCCTTCGAGCCATACGACTCAGAATCGCTGATATCACTTATGTTAAAAGATGTGGACGATAAAGATCTAAACATGCCTTTAAATTCATAAGATGAGGAAGTAGACTCCGGGGCGTCAAAGGAAATGTTGCTGATGCTGGTGAAAGAACTTGATGGTGACATAAACAAGTCCT